CACCATAGGGCCTTGATCTGCACCCCCCCCCCGAAAAATAAGAAAAAAATATAAAGGGGTACATGAGCTGAAACTTCAAGATAGAAGGGGTACACTTGTTAAACAAGGTTGAAAACCCCTGGTATACTCAAAAGGTAAATTTAACAAAGACCCCAGTGAATTTTGTAAAAGTCTTCTTTAGGGGAAGCAGGTCTCACAGTTGGTACCTCTCCAAGAAGCAGCTATAACTTAAAAAACTGTCTTTATGCCCGTGTTGTTATTCCTTTTTCTATATAACAAACAATGTATTCTTTATTTTAGTATTTATCCATTTCAACTCTGGTTTTTAATAAGTATCGAGCATACAGTACTCTTATATCCCAACATTTATATCACAAAAATGTTCAATAATTGTTCCTGAAGCTATATTTTTAAATAATTTTAGATTATAATTTCTTGGGCCTGTTGTCAACTTTGATTTTGTATTGATATACTATTTCCAGAAGGACTTGTGGAAGCAAAGGATGGCTAAGGCCTCAAGGGGGGAGAGAGAAATTCCTTAGATAAGAGGAAGATGACCATTAAACTGTCTTGAAGGACACAAGACAGATGTGTGTCTTTTCCCACATGGCAGGAAAAGTTAGTTTAGGCAACCCTTTGTCTTGAATCTATAAAAGGTTGATTGCCCTGGATGTGAATTAGAGAGGCCACAGCAGAAACCTTCCTGTAAGGGTCTCTCTCCGATAGCTATCGAAATAAAGTTTCTACCTGACCTGATTCCAAATTCTACAGCGTGTTTTTTCCACGACAGACTATAACTTTATACACTGTCCCATACACATAATATATTTACTCGAATATAAGATGACCCCCAAATAATTAGATTCTATATATGGATTTTTTTATGTTATAATTTTCTAGGTATATAATATAATTATTGGAGGTCTGCCTTGAATGTGTCTTCCTCCCACTTCTACAGTAGGAAAAATAAATCTGGGTGTCAGATAGCGTATTTGTCCTCTGCCTCACCAATTTCTTCCCCCTACTGCTCTTGTCTCCACCTCCTTACCGTCAGACCCTGCATTCCCTAAGCACATGAAAATGTAGAACAAATTTGAAAAAATGACTTTGAAATAAACATATCTGTAATAAATTGCATATATGCAAATTACTACAGGTACCCATAGACTTAGTTCATCCAGAATTGATGCATTTTACCTTTTTTGAAACTGCTGCAAGTTTTAGCACAGGTACTCCACAAACACACTTTCAAGCAGCACTTTTGTTCCTACTTATATATACAGGGTTGGCAGGATTTGGTTTTTATTAATAAACATTGATTTCACCACACATTCATAGGCCAATTGAAAACTATTTCCATCAGTACTAATTTAAATGTATAGAAAGGGGACTGCAGCAGGAAACACTTACTCATTACTGGACAGTGGAGAAAGAGAAACTGGAAGGACAGAGGGTGGAGAGGTTAAATAGGAAAACAATGACTCATCAATTAAGCAATTACCTGCTGGTTCTAGCTTAATGACCAGCATCAATTAGCTGCTCATTCAGTAGGGGGCAAAGAGCAGGCTGGAGGGAGATAAACCCCTACTCAAAGCCTAGATTATTCAAGGCTCCAGCCCAGTGTCAGCAGGGTCCAACCCAGGCTGGGCTGGGCCAGTTAAGTACAGGGGATGGAGGATATGTTCCCAGAGCTCTGAGAGTGCTGCTACCCTCCTCTTCTGGTCCCTGCTCACCCAGCTCTTTCCTGATGAATTAACAGAAGGATTTAAAGCAGGTATGATTTATGAATATTTACTTTTTATATTCTGCCATGTGACTTTATAAAGCCTTTAACAGCACACTGTCATTATTAAATTGTCTGCTCCACACAATCCTGAAAATTTAAACTGATAAAAATTGAAAACATCTCTAATTTTGTGCAATCCAGAAAATTAAATCAATAACAATTGAAATAAATGCTTAAAAATAAACATAGATTTTATCCATCAAAATTATTAAAAAATAAAAATTGAATTCAGCCACACCTATATTTTATATATATATATATTATAGGTTGAATGGTCATAAACTACTACAAGACCGTTTCAGGCTGGACATAAGGAAGAATTTCTTTACTGTCCGAGCCCCCAAGGTCTGGAACAGCCTGCCACCGGAGGTGGTTCAAGC